AATTAACTTGGTAAAGAATTAGTAAATGTACCATGATTTAATTGCTTTTACATAAAAATGTTGTCAAGTTACGTCCACTTATACAAACCTCTTGCATAATCCTTGGAGTCATTTTATTTTCTAGTTCATGACGGTAAGTCTATTTGAGTACCTTCTCGTACTCGGTGGTTTATTTTCCCAATGTTGCGAGATGGCAATGTGTATCATGGTTATTGCAAGAGTTGCTTCTATCCCGGCTGTGGATGAGGAGTAAGCCTTGGGCGTGCTTCTTTAGTAATTCCTATCCTTGCTTTTGTGGACCGTGATCTAGCTTGGCAATTGTATCAAACTATGTTGGAAACTTTATCTTCGAACTTATTTGCTTCCGCTTTATTTATCAAACTCGGTTTGTAATAACTTTTATTCAGTACTACGATGATGAAAAGTATCGTGAACTTTATGTAATATGTGGCATGTATGTTGAATCTGTACGATCTTGGTTGTTGTAAATCGTTTATCGAGACCCGTCGTGGTACTCGACGGACTACCGGGTTTATATGGGTTCAAGTATGACAGTGCGACCGCTTGCGGATTACCATTGTACTTGTATTCTTATAAATTGGTCGGTTCTGCGACAAGCTAGCAAAGTTTGTGAAAGAAATATTCAACAAGATCCACCAAATTTCTCGTCAAACAAGCAAAAAGGGAGAAAAGACGACCGGTTCCTACCCTGCTAGCGCTGTCAAACCGGCTAGGCTAGTTCCTGAATTGGCCAGGCCGGTTTCCCTGGCCACCAACACTGCCAAACCGGCCAAGCCGGTTCCTCTGGTCCCAGCAACTGCCAATGCATCTTCGAATGATTCGGCCCCTGCCGTTGATGCTATTGTTCCTACAAGTTTTTCAGGTGTCCTACGATAACAAAGAAGATGAATTGGTGGATTATGAAGTGTCGGGAGTAATCTGGATTATTCATCTTCCAACTACTACATTGTGGGCAATGATGAAAAGATGGCTCAATTTGGCATTTGTACCTCAGGTTGCCATATTTCATAAGCCAGAAGATTACGTGAATCACCTCAAGCCACTGCATGTGAGGGGCTACAATAATGGCAAACTGGTCAACAACATGTTGGTGGGTAACGGAGCCATGGTGAATCTAATGCCATATTCACTTTATAAGAAGCTTGGTGGAATTAATGAGGAGCTGATCAAGGCCAAGATGACAGTCAAAGGTGTTTGAGAAAATTCTGTTTCGGCCAAGGGATTTGCCTTGATGAAGCTTACTATTGGGAGCAAAACATTGGCCATTGTCTTTTTCATTGCAGAAGTGCAAGGGAGCTACAGTTTGATTCTTGGGCGCGATTGGATTCATAGCAATCGATGTGTTCCTTCTAGCTTGCACCAGTTCCTCATTCAGTGGGTGGATAATGAAGTCGAGATCGTCCACGCAGACTCATCAGCCTATGCCACGGCCGATGCCCCTTTGCTTGGGAGGCATGATGATATGATTTGCTTGTCAGGGAGGGACATTGCTGGTTTTGAGTCACTAGAGGAGGCTTTGTTCCCGTTTCTCTAGAACCGATTGATGATCGGCTCTATGTCATCATGTTGTGTAAATTCTGTTTGGATAGGGCTTCATGTCGGCTAACCCATGTGGATAATAGTTGAGATTGGGATTGGCACTAGCCCATGCCCTACGTTTGTAGGTCAACAGTCAGAAGCCGATTATAAAGTTAATAATGCTTCTCAATGAGTATGGATCAACATTACCGGTTCTTCATGCATTTAGGAGAGGAGCTCCACTCACATCATATATTATTGCCGAAGAGGCTGTATCGGTGTTGTGCTGTCTTGATGCTGAGATGAGTATGTTCTAGCTTTTGGTGATTCCTTACCGATCATGCAGCAAGTCACGAGTGTGTATCAATGCTTAGAAGGGTCACTATATATTTATTTTGACAAGTGCCTTGATATCATCAAGCAATTTGCCGAATTTCAAATTCGGCCATTCCAAGGCATAAGAATCATAAAGCTAACATGTGGGCTCAACAAGCATCATGTTATGACATTGGTGGACGGAATTTTCATATCAAAAGGGAGCCGATGCGCCGCATTTCTTTTCTAGAGGCTACCAAACCGGCCATGCCGGTTCTACTATGTCCCCTGGCTGATGAACCGGCCAGGCCGGTTTCAGAAACCCTGCAGGATTTTCCTCGAATCGGCTTAAATTGTTCCTTAATAATGCTAAAGTCGATCCAAGTGATTGGAGGGCTTTTATAGTTGCATATTTACGTGATCCAAGTGGTAAAATTGATAAGAATGTTCGGCGAGGTGCTTTCGAATTTATTTCGAACAATGGTAAAATATAGAGGAGAACTGCCGAAGATTTGTTGCGATGATGATCAGGCAAGAGTAGCTATGGGAAAGTTCCATTAAAGAAGATCAAAGTGGTCTTTAAAATTCTTATATGTTGGAGATATTGCAAGGTGAACGTCTCCCTAGAGCGGTTAACGGAAGATATTTGAAACAATATTTTCCACGTGTTTGGCCAGAGGACTAAGAGGTGTCCAAATAATGGCCGATACATCTATTGCCCTTGGAACAAATATGGCCGATGTATACATCACCCTTATTCACTAGATAGTCGATGAGTTGGACATCGTTGCTATTTAGATTGTCTTTGTTTTCAGATTTATCTAAAGTTTTGCTAAAAACAGGGGGCATATGTTCATGATAAAAAATGATCAAAAACATTAATTAATTCTTAGATAAAGATTCTGATGATTTCATGGCTTCAAAAATATATTTGAAACATTATCTAATTGTCCAAGAAGAAAAAGGGGAAGAAAAGATGGAGCTTCTTTTTATCGAACGGCTGCATTATGCTGCTGCTCTGCTGAAACGGCTTGGCCGATTGGCCAGCCGGCCAAGCTGGCTCACCTGTGGTTGCCGTGCCCCACACTGAGCGAGCAGGCAGCAGGCTGCTAGCAAGGCCTTGTTTAGATGCCATCTAAATTTCAAGTTTTTTCACTCTCTCTCCATCATATCAATTTTTAGTTGTTTGTATGGAGTATTAAATATAGGTAAAAAAACTAATTACACAGTTTAGTTGGAAATCATGAGATGAATCTTTTAAGCCTAGTTGGTCCACGATTGGACAATATTACCAAATAAAACGAAAGTGACACTATTCATCGGGTTCACTTTTTTTTGCAATCTAAAAAAGGCGCAAGTCGTGCGCCCCCTGCTGGGCTCCTTGCTGGGCACGCTGCACCTTGCCACACGCGCCGCTGCCCGTGCTGCACGCCTGTGCCCCTGCCTGCTAGCGCTGCTGCTGGTTGCTCCATCTGCTGGTGCTCCCTCAACCTGCTACTGCCGCACTGGTGCTGCTGCTCTGTTAGATGATCGGCCTAGCTGGCCTGCTCGACGGGGCCAGGCACGTTTGCTTCCCTGCACCACAGCCCATTCGGCTGGCTTCCTGCGCCCAGTTGTTTTGTTCCTTTCTGGAGCCTGACAAAACCGGCCTAGCCGGCTTGGGAACTGGCTTTGGCCGGTTTGATTATCCTAGTCTAACTAGAATTTTTTTTTATTGAAATTTGAACAAGGTTTTTTTATAGGAAACTTGGAGATTATGATATAAGGATGTTTTCTATTAGAATAAGATCAACCCCTCTATATATATGAGAGGATCACAGCCGATTGAAGGATCCAACACTCAATCGTCAAAAAACACATCTACTACCTCTCTCTATCCTCTTTTCCTGTCTATCTCTTCTCCTCGTTCTTCGTCGGTGCTGCATGACTGGAGGATCGACGACGACGACGCTCTAGAGTGTTTAGGCTAGCTAGAGCAGCCCATGCCACTGCACGTCCCAACGGGGTCCCTCTCGGGCTTGTGGAGTTTCGGGTCTCAAGAGACATCGTTGGTGTGTCTTACATATCGCGTTCCCAGCGAGGCTCGTCCGGTTGACGTGTCTTGCTTATCGCGCTCATCACTGGAGGCACAAGGTCCGGGTGCAGACATCCTATAGGCATCGACCGACCTAAAAGTCAACTAGGCCCTACATCGAGCGATCTAACTCCTTATCAGTGTGCTGACCTAATTAAGCGTCAATAGACTCTCTAGTGTGTACTACCTCGGTCCCCAAAAGAACACAATTCTAGCACAGTGTCACGTTTTAGTACCTTAAGTTTCATCAACTATAGATGAAAAAAGTATCCAAGTTCATGATACCAAATAAATACCATCAAATTAATTACAAAATATATTTTTATAATAAATTAGTTTAAAGCCATAAATATCAATATTATTCATTAAAAACTTGGTCAAACGTGAATCACTTTTCATGACACGCAATCTACAGTTGCATTTTTTTCAGGACTGAAGTAGTACATAAGATATAGAGAAAATGTTGAAGAGTGGAAACATATAGAAAATGACTTTTACACAAATGGCCCTCTAAATGACGATTTAGAGAGAGAATTTTAGAAAGATTCCTGGAGATGCTCTAAACAAACAGCAAACAACACCCTACTTAGGTTGTGTTTAGTTGGCGAATTTTTTTGGGAAATGGTACTGTAGCACTTTCGTTGTTATTTAGCAATTAGTGTCCAATCATAGTCTAATTAGGCTTAAAAGATTCGTCTCGTGAATTTCGTCTAAACTGTGTAATTAATTTTATTTTTTATTTATATTTAATGCTTTATGCATGCGTCAAAGATTCGATGTGACGAGAAATCTTTCAAAATTTTGCAAAATTTTAAAAACTAAACAGCACCTTAACCAAAGTTTAGAGAAAAGAGGAGATTGCTCTATCCCGTGTCACTCGTTAACGAATAACGAGTACTCTTACTTTACCTTCACTCTTTATTTAGGCCCGATGCTAAAAATCGGGCATCCAACAGGCCTGCTAGACGGGCATCCAACCGGCCGGCACACCCCGCGACGTCCCCTCACCATTCCTCCCTCTCGCTTATTATTATCATCCTCTGCCTCCGTCCACTCCCGGCGCCGTGCCTCCATGGCCACCGCCACGGCGACCCCGCCGCAATGCTGGCGAGGACTCCCTGCCTCGGCGCGGGCATCTCCACCTCTCTCCTCTCCGCTCCGGCCGCGCCCCGTAGCCACTCCCTTCTATCCCCTCAGGCGTCACATCGCTACTACTACAGCCAGAGGAAGGCGAGCCGCACTGGCCTGCTCCCCCAGGTACCGAAATCCCAGCAGATCAAACATACCTCCTGGTTCCAAGCGCCGTGCAACCACGCTTGTCGCGTCCTCTTGTTGGATTTTTGGTTAGGTTTCTTCTGTGTGCTGTGCTTGTGCAGGTGCACGCTGGAAACGGCCGGCCCTGTCTTCGACCCTCTGGGGCTCTACGAGGAGGGGTCTGATTCGCCGTCGCGGTCTCCCCTGTCGACCTTCTTTGGTATACTGGCGCCGGTGTTTGGGAGCTCCAGCGGCGGTGGTGCCAGTAGGGAGAAGGCGTCCTATGGCCGAGGAGCAGCAGGTTGCCAATTCAGAGCTATTTCCTTCACTTTTTATCAGGACTAACACTTAGGAACGATTTTGATGGGTTATGCAATAATGCTATGTTATCACACAAGCTAGTTAGGTTTAGTGGTATGCTTCATTAGCTTATATACTAGTACTCCCTCTGTCCCTCACCCCAAAATAACTGATGTTTTATGTTTGTCCTAAGTCAAAGCATTTCAAGTTTGACCAAATTTATACAAAAGAACACTAATGTTTAAGATACCAACTAAGTATTATTAGATTTATCAGGAAATATATTTTCATATGATATATACTCCGTATTTGGTGTCATAAATATTGATGTTCTTTTCTATAAATTTAGTCAAACTTAAAATAGTTTGACTTAAGACAAACCTAAAACATCAGTTTTTTTGGGACGGAGGTAGTAAATTTTGAAGTGAATCTTAGTGAAGCAAAACAGTGGTGCAATGCTACTTGTGTCAAAGTGTTACAGAATCATATAATCTAATTAGTGTTGTGGACAGATGGAGGAGAAACATACTTCCATGTTAGTTAAGGAAATAATGCAGTTTAAAGCAAAGGTGATCTATTTGGACTTGACAAGCCCAAATAACCTCAACACCCTTGAAAACAAAAGTTAGAACCCATATATTGCATTGATTTGGATCTGATTCATGATAAGTTTCTTAAAATACCAACATTCTTTTGCCCAATCAATAATGTGTCTCATATCATGCTTAAATTTTACAATTTTCTTCAAATTATCTGCTCTAGCATCTTGGCACTGCCTCTTTGATTGCTATTTTTTTTTTCAAGTTTTTAACAACTAGGATCAGTTCTGGCGATGAATTTGCTGGAATCCACTTTCTTTAGCCAACCAGTCTTTGCTGTTTAAAATGTGTCTCAATCCAAGTAGCTTATCTTTTGAACAGCTGCAATTGAGGATAGCTCCATTGACATTGGTGACTTCTTCAAGGGCCCTCTACCTGGGAAGTTCCTGAAGCTCCTCGGTTTTTTGGCCTTGTCTCGGCTTGGTGTGTATATACCCTTGGGTGGTGTCAACTGAGAAGCTTTTGCTGGGAACCTTGACCAGAACAGCCTGCTGGGCACTTTAGATTCTTTCTCTGGTGGAGGTATTGGCCGGCTTGGAATTTGCTCCCTTGGCATTGTACCATTTATCAATGCACAGATTGTGTTTCAACTCCTTGCACAACTCTACCCAAAATTGCAAGACCTTCAGCGGAAAGAAGGGGAAGCAGGAAGAAAGAAGGTTCTTCAGTATACAAGATATGCTTCTGTTGGATTTGCAATTGTTCAGGTTAGGTTCCTTGAAATATTTGAGAAGTGGATTTTTGATGCGAAGATGGCTTAACAGTGAGAACCTTAGATTTTTCTATATTATGATATTGGTTCAGTAATGCAACTTCATTTAGCTTTGTTTCAAATGTGAGGTGACTCCAGCAACTGATTGAAAAGTTGAAATGTCAAGAGCACTATAGGATGCTTGAAGTTCCTTGTAGATAGCCTGGCACCAGTGAGCAGAACTCATCTGTCTAAACCTCCATAGACTTGCACTTTTTACATGCAAAACTAAACTGACTTATACCTGGGAAAATGCTACGACTTTTATACAAGTGTGACATAGCTCCAGTAGGTCAAACTAGCTGGCATAACATAAATGATAGAGGCTGGAACTTGTTTACAGATGCTAACATTAATATGCTTTGGAAAATTACCTGTATTTTAATTAAGAAAAGAAGTAAGATTATAGCATAGACATTTAAAGTTTTGCTTGTCCTGTCAGTAAGTTTTTGTAAGTGCTGTAATGCTGTGTCTAAATCATGTTGTTGTAAACAAATATGATATTCCGGGTTTTTTTACTGTATGTCTTGTCAGTACCCATTTGTTGTGGCACAGTGCGATCATTTATGATGTTATTTTACCTTGAATGCAAGTTCATTGTTTTATTTATATATGGTGGGGTTGTAAAAAATATCGTTATTTATTTTTAGGCCATTGGACAAGTTCTTTATCTCCATCCTTATGTGAATGACTTCAGTACAGAATGGGTTCTAACATCTGTGACATTATTGACACTTGGATCGGTCTTTACTACTTTCATTGGTGAAAGAATATCTGATCTGAAACTTGGAAATGGAACATCCCTTCTTATATTTACAAGTATAATATCATATTTGCCTGCGTCATTCGGGAGGACAGTTGCGCAGGCATTTCAAGATGGGAATTATGTTGGACTTCTCACAATCGTATTGTCATTCTTTCTATTAGTCCTTGGAATTGTCTATGTCCAAGTAAGAAAATATTCATTTCAAGGTATATTTACAGACTTTCTTTCAATGTTCTAACTGCCTGGGGATTTCAATTTCAGGAAGCTGAGCGCAAAATACCCCTCAATTATGCTTCTCGTTACAGCAGTCGAACTGGGGGACTTCAGCGATCCGCATATCTACCATTTAAGGTTTCATACTAAATATACTTTTATTTGAGTCATGATGTTATGGACAAGGATCAAGAGATGCAAGAATGGAGGGGGGAGAGGGAGGTTAGGAGAACAGGAGAGGGCAAGGGTAGACATGGTACTGCAGGTTGAGTGGGAGAGCAGGGAGATAGAGGGAAATCCCATCGATTTTGCTTAACCTTTATTGATAGCCTCCCCCTCTGTATATGGAGGAGGTTACTTGTCCCCTAAGCCAACTACCTAGATTGTATCTTAGGCACAAACCAATCTAGTTACAGTCATATCTCAATGATCCTAATTATAAAAGGAAATACATGAATAGTGGATACTCTTGGGCGCCCATGCGTCCGACCTTCTGAGGCCAGCACCTATACTGCCGGCCAATCATGACATATGACTTTCCATATATTTTGCATGTTAAAGTGAATTTCCATTTGAAATTTTGGCTGTTCTGATCTGAAATACCAGTGTTTCCAAACTATCATCAGCTTAAATTTGATTAACTTTGTGGTGAAGTGTAAATTTGCTTTGAGTATTACATCATGTGTTGGTATTCATTTGTTAGCTATGTTTTTGTTCTGAACAAGATTAGACCTAAAACTTCATATTGAAACTATGTGTTATTCGCAAGCATGGTGTAGCTTTTAGTGGAGCTTCTAAGCTTTCATTTTAGAGGTTTGCATTTCAACATTAATGTTTATATTATACTTTATTGTTGTACATACAGAATTCTGTCTGAGCTGTTGTTGGGGCTATATGATATCTGAGAAGACAGATGCCATATATATGAAACAGGACTAGATCAGTCCACACAAATGTTCTTGTAGATTTGACCACGATGATTTGGAGCCTGTTAGGGTCCTCATAAATAGCATGTTTGTCAGCAATAAAAAACGTTTTATTTTGTTCCTAGGCTTGTAACCTTTGTTCTATCTTTCAAACTCGTCATAATCAACTTGATTTTAACTTCTTTTTTGTGCAACCTTGTAAAATACCAAAGGAGGTATTAATTACTTCTATACCGTTATGAGCAGGTCAACAGTTCTGGCGTCATGCCTATCATATTTTCTACATCTTCACTGGCTTTGCCTGGTACTTTGGCACGGTTCGCTGGCTTAGACTTTCTTAAGAAGGCTGCCATAGCCCTTAATCCAGGAGGTAAACTGTCTTGATTTCTAGTTAATTGAAATTGCTGCATTTTTCAGGAGAATGCCAAACTCATGAATTACTTGTTCACAAACTGAGCCCAAATTTAATTTTCTGCTGTAGGTGCTCTCTATCTTCCAACTAATGTATTACTTATAGCCTTCTTCAATTATTATTACACGTTTCTCCAATTGGATCCTGATGATCTTAGTGAGCAATTGAAGCGGCAAGGCGCTTCGATACCGCTTGTGAGGCCAGGAAAAAGTACAGCTGCTTATATTAAAACAGTGAGTTCTTACACTTCCATTAAAGTAGATGCTTTTCTTCAATTCTGATGCACAAGTTTCAACTAGTTACCTTATTGTTGTAAAATGTGGAAGCTGTCTATATCCAACTTTATGACATGTTCCCCTCAACAAAAAAGAACTTTTGGATTACAAAATCCTACCTAGTAGGGACTGGGAAATTGTTGGTAGGGTCCTGTGACAAATTTAGAAAACTGATAAAGTAGAAAATGATTATTGTTTTCCGAAAGAATATTTTGACCCATGGAGTGGAGTTTGTGCTTTTGCAAATTTGAGGAAGTGTAGTTGAAAGATATTTTTTGCAAGACGTGGGCTGGGTGGTGTATATTCTCAGATACAAAGATGTCGTCACATCTAACTGGCATGCCCACTAACTCGTGTATTGCATTTGAAAGGTTTATGTAAGGTTAGCTGATTTTACGGAAGTGTTGTGTGAGAATGATGGTTTTTTTTACAATGATAGATATTGCTGCTAGATAGGTTTTCTCTGTTCTTGCATCTGGGAACTGCTTGCAAATGATGTTTTTACTTATGTAGTTATGTGTTTGGTTGCAATATCTTAACTATTGTGGAACCTGGCCATATTTTTAAAAGTAATTGATAATTTTAAAAAGCAACATGAAGTGTCCTACATTCTATCCATAACGGCTTGGTTGGATATAAGTCTGTGACTTTGCCAACTCCCTTTATCTTATATTTTATTGAGACAATTATGTCATTGCAGGTTCTTAGTCGCATATCTGTCCTGGGATCTGCATTTCTGGCTGTGCTAGCTGCTGGACCATCTGTAGTTGAACAGATAAGTCACTTGACAGCATTCCGGGGATTTGCTGGGACTTCAGTGCTTATCCTTGTTGGATGTGCAACAGACACAGCTCGGAAAGTTCAAGCAGAAATAATTTCCCAGAAATATAAGAATATTGAGTTCTATGATGTCAACCATTTTGACCAATAGTTGATCTCACTGGTCATTCTTTTCAACCTGTACTTAGATTTTTAATTGTGTAATTGAATATTGGATCCGTAAGGCCGTAACTAAGCATTTCTTAATGTTCACTTGGATCTTAATTTTTTTCTACTGTGTATAGCACCTAAATCTATACTTAAGGTACATAAATCGTTCATCTGTACACTAACATGTCAGAGCACTCAAGTCTTAAAGCTATGAATGCTCATTGTTATTCACAATTCTTGTTGCTAATGATGTAACATGTATTTTGTCCTTCAGAAAAAGGAGCTTAAATTACGATTCCCTTCCATATTTATTATATTTAACTTTATTAAATCAACTGAAGAACTGGCTGAATGGTCATGATTTCTTTGAGGCAAGGTGAGATGTACTGATTAAATAGGGCTGGAGAGTTGAACTCAGCTGTTTCATTTTGTACACCACTATGAACATGCACAACTCATTTTCTCATCTTATGTGGTTAGTTTCTCTCTTTTTTTTCAGGTTTTTATTTTGTGGTTTTATTATTATGTGACTAAGTTCTGCTTTTTTCTCCCCAATATCTAGCTTTGACTCATGCAAATAGATCAATATGTTTTCATTGATCTTGCACCTGGAGTTGGCACATTTGATAAAATTGTTTTGGTGTCTGCAATATTCATTTCCCTGAGCCATTAGTTCATCATTCAAGCATTATGTCAACATCTTTAACAATTAAACAATGCAAGAATGGAAGAGGGTTATGAAATTTTAGGAGCCTTAGCTGTTACACAGGGAGTGAGACCATCATTTGTTTGATTCACAAGTCTCTTCAACCTCTTGACTTTATGAATGCATGTTATTTACTATTCTTAGACATATCTGCAGAGAAAAGTGGCTGACCATTCTGTTTTTTTTTTCTTTCTAAAAGTTTTAAAGCTATTTGAGAAGTGGCTATGGACCTGTTCGTGGGCTGTTCATTTAGCTTTTCTTTTTTATCTTAAGCCTGGCCTGAGCTGTGTTCTGTGTCAGTGTTAGGATTAATCTTGTCATATAGGCATGTTAGTGTTAAACATGCTTGTATAAGCCTAGATGGCTCCTGGATGAGAGCTACATGAAGACAGCAGCTCTGAAGTTTCCTGTACTAGCTAGTTGTTAGTCGAGTCAACTTGAAGTTTACCACTGCAAGAAGCAAGCTGTGATGGGATAAGTCTCATGTGTTGGCTGGTCTTTGTGGGGCTGTGCTGGTCACATGGTCCTTGTGGCTGCATGGTCTGTTTTTAGGACAGCATCTTAGACTAGAGGATAGCATCTTAGAGGACAGCATCTAGGACAGCATCTTAGAGGACAGCATCTTAGCATCTAGTACAGCATCTTAGACTAGCATCTTGGCATATGCTTGGCTGGCTAGCAGCCTATAAATATATACCCGCAACCCCTCAGGTTGGTATGACATTTGTGAGAAATAAACCAGAAAATTGCCCCAACTCCTAGTGTCATCTTCTCTCGATGAGAGTAAGAATTCACATCCAGTAATGCTTGGGCAAGCTTGATGACCTTTGAAGGTTCAGCCTTTGAAGCCCAACCTAAAGTTTTGCCTGACCTGGTTTTGGAATAGATCTTATAAACTGACCCTCCTTGTGCCAGAAAGAACCAGCTGAGACACAATGCCTCGTTAATGTGGCCATGGACCAATGAGAAGAATGATTCTCACATAAGCTTAAAACTATTTTTTTACTGTAGGTGCTTTGAATGCAGCATCCTGAATGTGTTTTTTCCACAAAAAGTACAAGCCTCAGCTTTTTGGGGGGAACTTCTTGAGTTCTTTCACTTAGTACTTATATTCTGATGGTCGTTAGTAATGGCTGTGGGGCATTTTATTTTAGAAACTCCCTGCTGCAGAAATTTCATGATTGTAGTATGGGGAATTAAATTAATTTGTCCAGTGGCTCCTGCTACCATCTATCCTTGACCTTTATTGTTGTTCTTGAATGATCGCAAGCATTTCTTTGACTGCCTCACCCACAGGTATACTGTAGGCGCCCTCTGCATGGTGGAAAGAGGTCATGTTCACCCAGATGGCATCTTCTAGTTGCTGATCCATTTCTGAGAAGAGCAGCACCAGAGATTCAAGTTGACATTTGACAGGAGGATGCCTCTTTTCATCAATTAATTGTGCCACAGGATATATTTGGTGTTTATCACTATTGTTTTGCTGCCTCATTTAAAACATGAGAACAAGCAAAACCTGTGGTATCACTACAGAGTGTATTAACACTAACTAGGAAGTTGCTCACATGTCAGACAAGACTAAGACACAAAGTGCTATCTTATTTCCTGATGAAGGTTTGCTGCTAATTGGATCATAGAAATCGGAACTGAGATGTATATTTATCAGGTAACCTATCATCTTTCATTCTCCATTTCTGTTTGCTGTATTTAGAATTTATAGAAAATATGTCATCTTATGAAAATGCCTGGAGTTTTCTTACCCTTTTCCACATATACTCTGGAGGATAAGTGAGTTCTGAGTACAGACAACACATGTCTGGGTCGAGTCTAGAGAGAAATGATGACAGCATCAGGCTGAAGATTTCACTCATCAATTTTATTTTGTGCATATTTCTCTCCTATGTGGGGGGAAGAGTGTTTCAGCATCTAGGGACACTGGGTAAATCCAGTTTAGTTGACATGCTAATTGCTAACAGCTAACTTCTAATTGTGTGTGCAACCTTGTTTTCATTGTGTTACACATATGGAACCTTGGCCTAGATGTCTTTCTTATCTTCCTTGCAGGTTCTATTTTTAAGGATTTGTTTAATCCACAAGTGTCATATTTTTGTTGCTATTTGCTGCCTCTGAGTGGGACTTAATCATTTATGCGGGAGTTAAGTTTCAAAAACCTACAACTATTGTGACGTATCACACATGTATCAAGTAAGTACAACTTCTAGATCCTATTTCAAAACCCTACAACTATTTTTACATATGTACCAAAAAGCTAGTACATCTTTGTGACCACATGACAATGTGGCCCCACATGTTATCCTCATATGGCATGCAACATGGTTCCATGAGGCTAGCATGTGGGACCACATTGTCATCTGGTCAAATGGTTGTAGCCTTTTGAGACTGTCAAAATTGTAGTCCTTTTGAAATAGGCCACTGTATTTTTTTTTGTACACATGCTAAATTAGTTTTAGGTTTATGAAATTTATTCTTTGTACTGGTTCAGATGACACCACAAGAAGCAACTTGGTGAGGGTTAAGCCTAGTGCTAATACCCCAATGTATCTAGTTTTACCTATTTACTATTCACTATCTAGGCTAGTTACTATTCACTGTCTAGTAGTTTTTAGATGTCTTAGCATCCAAGCTAGCATCTGCTTTATGCAGTAGAATATGTTGTAGTAGTTGAGACCTTCTTGTATCCCAAGTTCGCTATTTCTATTAATACAAAGAAGCGGCCTATGGCCAAGCTGCCCTCTTGCAGATCAAATTCCACTTGTCTAGTTTGTTACCTGTCCAACAATTGGTATCTAGAGCCAAGGTTAGGTGAGAGCTAGGCCATGTCCACCTCCAGCGAGCGTGCTCTGCGTGCAGCCGCCGCCGTCGCCAACACCAATGCCGACAGACGGGCGGTGATCAACCTTGACCCGGACGCCGATCGTGCTCAGCGCGTGGCCGCAGCAGAGGCCGCAGCCACACAAGCGATCGAGGCGGCCAGGCAGGCAGTGGCAGCAGCCTAGGCTGCAGCGAACACAACCGCCGCGCTACGTGCGGAGATGGAGCGGCAGCCCAGAGGATCGCGGAGCCCGGCGCCACGCTGTGGCGAACACAACTGCCGCGCTACGCTCGGAGATGGAGCGGCAGCCCAGAGGATCGCGGAGCCCGGCGTGGCGTCGCGCACCTTCACCATTGTCGGAGCGTCGTCGCGGACGCGGAAGCCGTCGCGGGTCGCCTGCCACTGTTCAGACAGTGTACAAGGACTCTGGCGTGGGCACGCCGTGGCCGATGCTGACCAAGACCAACTACCACGAGTGGAGTCTGCTCATAAAGGTCAAGATGCAGGCGCGCCAGCTTTGGGACGCCATCGAGTATGGAGACCTCCCGTACCACGACTATCGGGGCGCGCTCGAGGCCGTCATCGCTGGAGTGCCGCCGGAGATGGGTGCGCCGCTCTCTGACAAGGCCTCTGCTAAGGAGGCGTGGGACTCCATCGCTGTGGCGCCCATCGGCGTCGACCGCGTCCGTCGCGTCACGCTGCAACGACTATGCAAGGACTGGGAGAACCTCGCCTTCCGCCCCGGTGAGCATATCGAGTACTTCGCCCTTCGTCTCTCCGCGCTGAAGCAGCAGATGGCTTGCCACGGTGATACGGACCTCGAGGAGAGAGCAGCGTTGAGAAAGCGCTCGAGCCGTGTCAAGAAGAAATGCGCCCGGCCTAAGGATCGCGATCGAGACCCTCCTCGACTTCTAGGACCTCACCATGGAGGAGGTCAAGGGAGGTCAAAGGCGGTGGGCGATCTCGAGGAAGAACTCCCCCCGAGCCGATAATCGTTGGCGGGAAGCTGATGTACACTGAGGAGCAGTGGCTCGCTCGGCAGAAGGAGAAGAGTGGAGACGGCTCCGGCACATCCACTTCGTCTAAGGAGCATCGCCGGCGTCCACTGGCGGCAAGCAAGCGAAAGCCAAAGGGTGGCGTGGTGGCCGAAGTGGCGGCGTGAGCAAGGAGAGAAGGTTGGAGTCGCCCCGGGCGTAACGCAAGGCGAACCGCGACGACACCGCCTCAAGCGCCATCGCGTCGGACACTGGAGGCAAAGGGCGCCCCACCCTCGGCGTGAGCGTGGTGGGTGCAATGACGTCGCGGAGGTGGATGACGACGACAGGCTTTCTTCTCGCCACGGCTTCTTGGAGCTGGATGCGGAGGAGAACATCTTCTGCTCCAAGGCCGACGCCACCCTCGACATCGAGGAGCCACGAGCCAGTGCGTTCCTCAACACCGGCTCCGGCGAAGACAAGCTGGA